TACTACTACTCCTACTACTGCTGCTACTACTAGTACTACTACTACTACTACTGCTACTATTACTACTACTACTACTACTACTACTACTACTACTCCTACTCCTACTCCTACTCCAACTCCTACTACCACTACTACTAATTGTAAAATCATGACAACAACAACAACAGGCTCTTCCTCCTCCTCCTCCTCCTCCTCCTCATCGTCAGGAGCATATTGCTGGAAGTTGTATCGCAACATGATGGCCGGCATATATGAAAACGTGGAATTTGCCTCCGCGCCATGTCCTGCAGGTCGTCAACGGCTGGGGACCTTACTGTGACTTGGCTAGGTTTGGCCGCAGTGAGGCTTGGCTCGACAAGCTGCTTGTTTTGTCGCAGCGTGCGCCCAAGAAATTCGGCTCTACACAGGCGGCATCCTATCACAGTCCGCAGCAAGAAATCACACAGTTCACTCGTTGTGTGTGCGGGCCAAGTAGCGCTTCCGTCTCGCAAAGACAGACCACCTAGGAACAAATACACAAGTCCGCGCGCACACGGAAATTAGGCTGGCCTATTCTCAGAGGCACATGAAACCATGAGTGCTTCCAGCTCTCTCGAAGCCATGTTGATCGGCCCTGCAATGCGCAGAAGCCGAATCAGCTTGCAAGACTAACATGCCTCAAAATGTCCGAGTGGACGAGTGCATCAGGGGAGGTGCTCAGATCCTGACTCTTTTGAACGTCTTGCTGGCAGTAAAGATGCCAAGTAATTAGGAATGCGCCCTGGAATATCAAACGCGACATAAGGATTCACGTCTTTCGTGGTTCCAGTGTCCATTCTTTCCATTCTTTTCACATTTTACTCACATCTGCGGAAGTAGACGGCTCACGGTCCTTCGAAACCAAAACTTCTTCTTCGATATAATGTAGATACGACAGATGACAAATGCCTTGAATCTGTCACCAAACTAAAAGCAACTCCGCCTGCGTTGCTAAACCCCATCCCACAAATCCCAACACCACTAAACACGCTACATTTGATGCTGCAAAGGCACGGGTTGTGTGGCACCCGCTGCTTCCACGAGCGTTGAAAGCCTGTCAAACAGTGTCACGTTCATCGTACCAGGAGCAGGAGCAGTCTCAGTAGGGGGTAGTTGTCGACGTCATAGCAGCAGTAGTCGTAGTCGTCGTGACAGTATCTGGAAGCGGTTAAGACGGCAAACGAGAAAAAGGGGAACCAACAAGAAGCGCCAACAACTAGCTTATACTCATTGCAGTTTGGGAGGGTAAGTTTAAAAGGGATGGGCACCGCTGAAGCTGTTGATGAGCCCTTGCACGCAGGCGCAGGTGAGTACGATGATGCTTGTGTCAGCAACCCAGTATGACCAGCATTCGATTCACAGTTGACAAGTGTTAGCTGCTACGTGGAGGGCTTTAAACTTGAAGAAGTTAACTTTAGGGTCTGCATGCGCTAGTCCTGTGATCACTCTGTGCCGGACCAAGAATCAGACTACGTCCTCTTGCTTTATGTCGGGATGAGCGAGCCTCTTGGTTCTGAAGTCAGAAACGCATGCTCAGCACTAGCATGCCTGAACGACGGTTGTTGCGGGTCTCAGCGGCATGAGCACAATTTAGGCCATCGACCCTATGCATGCAGGTTGTTGGGAAGTACTTCGGTTATCCATGGCCCGAACCACTGAAGACTCTGTGACTGTAGAGGTTGCAGAGAGCAAAGCTAGTAATTGCAACACCCATGATAGCCAGACTTGTCACAGCGAGGCCCTTAGAGTAGCGATACCGGTGATACAGTAGGCACAGCGGCACGACAAACGATGCAAACAACAGCAAACTTTTTCATGCTGACTTCATGTTCATATGCACTACAGTACATGTGGCTGAAACCCTGAAGTAACCGAAATCCCGTGACACAAACGACCATTTGTTGCAAATCCAAAAAAGCCCGAAGGCATTGCAAAGACTCCGCAAGGGACCTCGGCCGCCGGCAGGGTGCTGGCATCCCGGTGAGGCCTCGCGCGTTGTCGCCCAAATGCTGCCGGACCGAATGCTCTTGGTTTTGCGGGCTTGCATTCTGGGGCATTCTGTGGAGTGCAAGAACTTTAGGAGACATTCAAGTTGGGGGATCCCTGTGCAAAGCAATGCAGATATACACAGATGCCAAGCCCCCAGCGATTGAACATCGACAGCTGTGTTGTGCAGTGCTGAGGTACTGTTTTCTGGCTGACTCTTACGGAGCTCGCTCGCTTCACTACAAAGTCTTTAATGTCGAAGTGTTCGTGTCCGAACAGACACCTCATGACTTTCAGAATGCCACATTTTCACACAGCTATATAAGGCCTTTGTCTCACCAGACGGAGTGGCATGCATGCAAAGAGGAGCAAACCCTTCCCGGTTGCTTGGCCGAAAATGTTGAGTCTAACCTCCCACTCAACAGACTATCACGAGTCGGAACAAACAATCGAGTCAAGAACTAGGCTTTCCCTCGGGCCCTTTGTCAGCCAGCAACCGAGTAATTCCTGAACCCAGAAAGCCGCAACTAGGTACAGCGCGGCTCTGATTTGTACCTCCGCTAGAGTTTAGTGCTCAGTTCCGGGGTTCGTCGGCACTCGTTGGAGCGTTTGGAAGGCAGTTGCGGCTTCATCCAACAACGACGACCCCAATCCTGTCATTGAGCCCATACGCTTTGAAGCTCCCACCGTAGCAGTCGAAATCAGTTCGTCGGATTCCTCGTCATCATTATAACTGCCCTTACCATCGCCAAGATCAGCAATCATGACGACTGTGGCCGCAGGAGCACATGTACCCTACTACTTCGCCGTCAAAGAGCCAATGCAGAGCCCATGCCCTGTCCGGCGCACCTGCCACGAAGGCCTCCGCCCCGGCCAAGACGGCACCAAGCGAGTGGCTCGCAAGCACTGCAAAGAGCATCGTCTGAAGCACTGCCTTGGTCGGGAATGCCAATGCTGCTCGTTCAAGTATCACCCTACTACCCTCGAAGCTCGTAGCTGAACAAACCCGCCCAGGCAAGACCAACAAAAGTAGCCTGCCGCTTGTTACCCAATGCACCCTGCATCCCAGGAAGCGGCCATGTTGCTTAACCTGACGAGCCCCCAATCTTCAAACCCTGCAACTCCTCAAGCTTGAAGCACTGTCGCGCGAAAAGCGAACAATCCTGGAAACAGCTTTGCAAATCGTAACCGAACAAACAAACAGCCCCATACATAAATGCCCCAGGGCGTTTCAACGGCAAAGAACCTCGCAAGAACCGCCTGAGATGTGCTCCGTAGGCGCCAGGCCCCGGCAGACGTAGCACGTAAAGTCACGCCGCCCGGCCCGAGTCCGAAACCCTGCAACATCTTTCGCACTTCTACAGACTTTGTATCACAAAAACAGGCTTGCAGAAGTGAGCTGTGAAAGTTGTGGCTGGATGGCGAGCCTACTCAGATCACATGTTCGAAACACCTGCGACATGTGAAGTACTTGTGAATATCGTAATTGGTTCAAGTTAGGTTCTGACTCCGGACAGTCAGCGATGTACAGCTGTGGACTCTGGTCACGATACTCGTTATGAGGAATAAGACTATCGCCGCAACTATTGTCCTATCCTTCTTGACTGCTTTCATCACTGTCGTGTCGCGATCATAGTCTCTGTGATACTCTGGATTAGAGGCCTAAGCTGGTGGTTCTAGGAGCTGGGCAATAGTTCTAGGTTGCATGGCAAGGGTCCAGCTTCCCGCAGTCGGGCCTGAGGGAGAAGCGACGAGATCAGATCATGTGGCAAAGACGCCAACAGAGGCAAATGCCTTCAGACGGGGCGGAGAGGCCGCGGCATGTGTGTGAGTTTCGTGCTGTTCGTGTTGGCTTCCGGCTTCAACAGTGGCTGAAAAGCTACTAGCACTCGCTGTCTGAAGTCCTGCTCTTACATGATGACGATGATTCGGCCAGTCGCTACCACTACCAGTGCCTTGGCCTCTGCCGCTGCCACTGCACTACTCGTACTACGTACTATGGTCCTCTGGCTACTCTTGGTACGAGTACTAGGCACCCCCCCTACCAACTATATTTGCCCAACACCTCCTTGACAGCACATGCGGGTTTTCGGTATGTATAATATATTTTCCTATTGCCCTACCTTTTGTTTCCTCAAAATTTACTTGTCGACTTTGCAATTTGCCAGCTCGAGCTTGGGATTGCAGAGCGGGTGGAATAGCGACACCCGAGAGCGTGCACAGCACACCTTGCTTCAAGAGCAAACCCTCCTCCACCGAAGTCTGAGCTTTAGGGGCGTTGTTGAGCTGCTCTCACGGACAGCTGGCACGTTGGTTCTTAATCGTTAGGGATTCTCGGCTTCACGCTTGAGGGGTGTTAAAAAAGTCTTAGCAGCACCTTCGTTTTCCACGCTATATCGGTATTTCGTAGTATCCTAGCACCTTGGTTTAGCAGTTTCTTCGTCGTCGAATTTGCAACTTCACGGGCCGGTGGAAGTATATCACTGGTATCCTCCGCTTGACCTTCTTCTATCAAGAAGCGAGTACCGAGATGGTACTTCTCTCGAGAATCGCTCGGCCACAGGCGGTCGCTGAAAACGAAGGCCCGACAAACCAACGAGGCAACCCTTGAAAAAGGACGCTGTTTCAGTCAGGATAAAAAGAAGGCTAGCACGAACGCAGAAAGCAACCTTGAATTCCACCAAATCCGTCGCACTGGCCGCACTCCAAGCTCAAACGCCCTGGCCCCAAACATCGCGCCGAAGACAAGACTACTACTACTACTACTACTACTACTACTACTACTACTACTACTTCCGCCTTCTACTTCTACCTACTACTGCTGCTACTAGTACTATGCCATTTTTTTACTATGCTATTGCAAATGCTGCCGCTGCTGCCACCACCGCCACTACTTGATATCTCTGCTAAGACGACTCGCTTCGGTTCTAGTCCTACGTCCTGGCCCTGAACCAACCTGTAGCAGCTCAGTTCAGATTCAAGCAAAGCACTCCATCATCGTATGGCCGCTGTTCAATGCGCCGCCTGTTGTGACTCGGTCATGGGGATGACAAAGACATAGTGACAGCTCTGGCATGTAGTGACGTAGTGTTGTCAAATGAGGTTGTAGTGGTACATAGAGAGTACCAGATTGTGTTGCAAACTCTTCTGATTCGGATACTCATGACTCTGTGCAGGGATGTGCAGGGGAAAGAATTGTCGAACGACTAAATGCGTGAGCCTCTTTATGCATCTACCCCATCCAGTACCTTGTTGGAGCTTCGTTGCTGTGACCCGAAAAATGCAGCGTGCTCTTCCTCGGTGGTTTGGGCCTCGCCGGCTCCCACCGTCGCTGCGCAAGGCGCCGGAAGCCTCGGCCGGGCTTCGGGCTGACATGGCAAAGGTTTGCTGTCGGAGGACATGGTGTTGGGCTCATGTGTTCGTTGACAGTGATTCGATTTAGAGTTCTGGATGCCGCTATAGTGCTGGACGTTGCTATGCTGCATACAAGTTCGGCCCGATTCCCACAACCTATGCCAGCTTGTCAAAGTTAACTTACTCAGACACAAGACGACTTGTATCGCCACAGCGACAAGCACGATGACTGTGACACAGCAGCAGGAGCAAGCATGCTCGGATTCGCCACCTTCAGTCTTCGCACTGCGCGTGTCGACTAATCTCAACGTTCTTGTTTGGGTTGATTTCGACCAGACTGGTGACCAGACCGTTGTGCAATATCCGGTGCTTTATTGCAGCCCCGGCGTCCACGGCATCAGCCCAGCGTGCCCAAGCCGCAGCATCACTGGCGACGGAGTCCTCAAAACCTGGAGCTGAGGGCAAGGTGGAAATTCAAGGGCAGCCTGTACAGAGTGGCGTCGTCGACGGTATTGAAGTTGCACAGGGATTGTCCGGCACGTTTGGGCGACAGTGTCTTGACAACTCTTCGGGGCTTGCGGTAAGGTTCTGTGCTCCTATAGGGTCTTGAAGGAATTTCTGCCTCTCAGCACCTGAGGAGTGTGTGAAAGTCAGGGCAGACTGCCCAAGAAGAAGACACAGTCAAATCAAGGCAAGGCAATCACGGAGCCGAAATCAAAGCTCTTAGCGATTCGCTACACTTGTGGCACTCGACTCTAACGCTGGGACTCCGCACGGTCGGCGAGGAAGCCAAGCGAGATGCCATCCACGCTTACAGAGACAGCCTGGAGTTAACTGGTTGTGATGAGTGTTTCTTCGACGGCTGTGCCGACAGCCCTTCAGAAACTTCAAACCCTACCCTGACCGATCCCGACAATCTACATGTTACCAACTTTGCCAACCCTGTCAAAGGCCTACAGACACCACAAGGAACAGCCGCAAGCCATCATCGCCATCACAATCACCATCGCCATCATCACCGGCAACAACATCATTAAGTTAGCTTCCTTCATCTCCTCCTGATGGCCATCATCGCCATCCTCATCAGCATCATCGCCATCGCCATCGCCATCGCCATCGCCATCGCCATCGCCATCGCCATCGTCATCGTCATCGTCATCGTCATCGTCATCGTCATCATCATCATCATCATCGTCATCATCATCATCACCATCACCACCATCATCAGCAGCATCTTATCATGATTATCATGTTCTTTATCTTAGTACGACCATCGTCATCCTCATCATCCTCACCATCACCAACTTAAGCGTCGCCGTCAGCCTCATCATCATAGTGTCACACGGTGTGCATGACTGACATACGAACTTGAACAGAGCTGGCTAATTGGCAAGCCCAAGAGCGCTTGGCGCGGGCCCTCCCATGGCGAGGCATTGGAACAGGATCGCCAAGACTCCGGGAGTGTCGGCACCTTAACTAAACAGAACTGCGGGTGTTCGGGATTAGGAGCGGTTTAGCAGGTCAGCGTGCTCAAGCTCGCAGTACATGCATAGCGGATTCCTCTTCGTTTGGCTTACCGTCCCTGTGCAGGCCTTGATAAGGGTCGTTTCTTCCAGGTTCAGAGTAGCTACTGTCTCTCTGCTGGGTCTGGCCAAATAGCAGCATTCCGGATTCTGCTCCGTGTTTTCTGGGGCACACTCGTGAGCACAGCATCTTCAACGAGGTTGTTAATAATTAATAACTCAGATTACACACTGAGTCTCTACATCCGCATCTAAACAGCTGTCGTGTGTGGGAGGTCAAGATGAGTACCCACAGGATTCTTAGACACGTCAACGTCGTGTGCAGATTCGCAAATTTGCAGAAGATGTCTGAACATTGCCTGGCGAAATCCTGCTGGTGGCTTCGCCAGCAAGGAAGCTTTAGCAGCTCTGGTCAGTTTTCACCTGGAGCTGAGCATCCTGAAGTCAAACCACTGGGCGCCGGCACCACCCTCGGCGGCACCTTCCTCTGCCTTCGTCAGGGCCGGTCAACGGGCTTTCACGACGGATTTTGGGGTTGGGCAAGAACCACGAATCAGTATGCGCAGATGCTAGAAGAAATCTGCGAGCTAGAGGAGGAATGAGTCGTTCGTCGCATCGAACTCACAACAAGATCAGTAACTCTGCAAGCCCCACGCGCCGATAAAGCCTCGACCCTGAAGGTTCTCTGCAGAGGCCAAGGTTGTGAGCACTCGTGGCTTTGAAGTCTCAAGGTTGCGCGGAGGTTGTGCCCGTTGCTTCAGCTAGCGAGGATCTGTCGAGGATTGGCTGAGCAAAGTGGGCAGGCAGCGAAACTATCAGTCTTCTCGAACGTCGTGAACAAAGCGAGAGTAGCCAGACACGGTAGAGGCACCCACAATAGGAATGGTCGTAGCAAGTCTTTCTTAAGCATCGCGATTGCGGAAGCACGGTAAAGGTGGCAGATGCCACAGCCAAGAGCAGTAATTAACCATGATGAGAAGTCTATGAAAGAACTGACAGCAATAAGGTCATAAATGGGATTACCATGTAGTACTAACAAGTTCGGAAGAACAGTGATGCCAAAAGACATCATGGACAGGAATAGTCTGATCATGGAGAATTACTTCCACAAGAATAAGGAAGAGACCTATCACACCTGTGAGCCGACAGCTGTCTTCAGATACCCTGCAGATCCGGAATGCTGGACCGCAACCTCGCCATTCAATGTTCTCGCGCTTGATTGACGCTGGACCATCATCTGGCTGCAAGGCTGCAAGAAGGAGTTTTCAATGCTTCGTGTCAAGCTCTGACAAGCGCTGCTCCCCGAAACTCACTCCCATGCATGAAAACGCTTGAACTCGCGCTTGTCAGCCTACCGACCATGCGGGGTCGTATTTTCAGTGGCTCAGGCCCGGATCATGTGCTTAGGGCCCAAAGCGTATGATCTAGGAACCCTATACTGGCATCAGCCTGGCTGTGGATGCAAACCGAATAAAGAAATCCAAGGTCCCCAATTGTCTCAGCAAGTGACCAGCAAGTCTCAGGCCGGCTTTACCCGTTGACTCTGGCCAGTTTGCTTCTTGTCGTGGGAGCTGTCATTGAGAAGGTTCTCGCACAAGGGCAAATCCGGGGCAACAAAGCTCGAAGTAGAACTACTTATTCGCTTCATAGCAATAGTGTAGAGAATACTCGTCATCCCCATCAAGAACAGGAGCTGGTATGCAAGTTGTACCACCAACCACGACAATGACGACGACTACAGATTACTACTGTTACCACTTACTACCGCCACGACGACAAGGACGACGAAACCAAGACTGCTGCTCATTTTACTACTCCTGCTGCTGCTGCTGCTGCTGCCTTCTGCCGATGCTGCTTTCCGATTGTGACGGCGAGCACGAGAAAAAGGATAATGTGAACACTAGGCATGAGACTTGCAAATGGAACAGCACCAAGCAAACACCTTTGCGAGTGACAAATGCTCTCACCTGTCTGGGCGATACGAAAGCACATTGGACAGGTCGATGTAGACCATGGACTAGCTAAAGCCAGCGCCGGCTCGTGCTATGGTGCTGGCAACCCCAAACAGCAACGTTGTAGCCATCACATCATCAGCAGCAAACGAATGTCCATCGTCATGATAATCGCTGTAGCCATCACCTTCGTTCCCACTCATCAGTGTGGTGATCCTTCTGTCGAAATCATCATCACCATCATCATCCTCGTTGTGAATACAACCGCAGGCACGATAAACACCGCCGTCCTTGCGCACATCAACATCTTTATCTTCTTCCTATCGTCACAAATCCTGTCGAGGCCACTCCTAACCCTCATACTCCCTCTCTCCTTACTGTAGTCTTCATCAGTCTTGACAACACCCTTGCAAGTAGGAAGCTGCTTGTCTGCTCCTGAATCGATGCAGCGAACTAGACATCAGCGATTGGACAACTGCATGAAGCGGGGCAGAAGACGAAAGAACAGCTCAACGCAAGAGAAAGCCCAAAGTCCTCCAAGTATTTCTCGTCGACCCCAAACAAATCGAAGCGGGAAATGCGGAGCAGGTCCTGCGAAACACTCTCTCGTTGCACGCGAGAAAATCAAAGTTTTGAGGAGAGAAAATCAACTGGTACTCGAGTCCCGGCCTTTATCCGGTGCCCATGCAAGCACAAACGTGGATTTGCATTTGCATGTGAGCGCCGACTACTGCTGCAGTGCTGCTATTCGGTACCCGCCATACTTTCCTGCTTTCGCATCCCTGAGGAGATTCAGTATGGTACGATCGGCGGAAAGAATTGGCTGCCGCCACTGCAGGACATTTTCTTTTATGCACATTTACTGAGGGCGTCTATCTCCGAACCCTAACTGCCCCGAAGTCACAAAGAAAGCCCGTTAAGATCTCTTTGGGGTCACATCGACAGTCGCATCAGCACTGGTTCATCTGCATCCGCAGAAGAGTCGGTCCGCCAGCACGAAAGCGGTGGCATCCTTGGACCTTACCGGACTTTCTCGACATGCGACAAAGGATTTAGGCTTAGAGGTTCTGGAACAGGAAACTGTTTGATCGGAGTTTAGCGAGACACAAGATCCTATCACGCGACAAGAAACCACAGGGCTTGAAAAGAGCAAATCGCCGACATTGGAACGGGAAAACTGGGACTGTCGGGAAGTCCATGTTCTGCTTTCTGCTTGGGCTTGAATTCAGGATTAGGTGTTTACGTTGATGATGGTTGGGTTCCCTGGCTCGTGTTGGAGTCCGCGAGGAGTCAACGCTTTTGTGCCACGCATGTCCAGGCCAGATGACAACCTTCCTCAACCCAGTGTAGACAGAGCAGAGCTTCACTCCTTCGAATCATCCACTGCAAGTTGGTACGGGGCTCGCGCTGTGACTCAGCGCCTGCCGTTTTGGACTTTTGAAACTGAAACTGACTGTGGTAGTAGGATGTAGTAGGCATGCTCGCGATGGTTTGATGAAGATGATGACGATGACGATGATGATATTCATTATGATGATGATGATGATGATGGCGGCGATGATGACGCTCCAGAAGCAACAGCTGCTGCTGCTGATGATGATCATGGTGCCAATGGCGATGGTGAAGACAATGATGACCGATACAAGATTACGGTGGGGTGCTGGTAATCACTATTATGACAGAAAGCAAGGCATTACGGCCTTGAGCTTTTTCGCACTTCGAGCTTCCGCCATGTATGCCCAGGCCACATGTTCCCTGACACACACCGTACTATCATCGTCTTCCCCATCGTTACCATCGTCGCCACCATATTCATCACCATCGTCATAATCATCATTCTCATCATCCTCATCATATCCTCATGATCATTCTCATCCTCATGCTCATCATCCTCATCCTTACCATCCTCATCATCCTGAGCCTCATCCTCCTCGTTCTCATCCTCATCCTCATCCTCATCCTCCTCATCCTCCTCATCCTCCTCATCCTCCTCATCCTCATCCTCATCATCACCATTATCACCATCATCACCATTGCCATCGCCATCACCATCATCATCATCGTCACCATCAATTGTTCATTATGTTGACACGATGACAGTGGTGGCAAAACCGATCCTGTTGGCAAGAATGAGGATGCTCGTCGTCATCCTCAGGACGACCGAGGTCATGAGGATGAGGATGATATGTACAGAGCAGGAGGCAAGGAGAGCCAGGTGCAGCCTTCGACTTCCGCTCCCTGCGACGATTCCTGCTCCTCCAGGACCTGCACAGATCTGGTGAGCATCCACGTTGTGAAGTTACATAGCACAAAGTGATGAAAAATCTGCAGCTGTGCGGCGGAAGTAAGCTATGCAGATGCTGAGTGCGGTGCACCTTGTTGCATTTCATAACTATAGTTCTTTAGGACGGACGAGTTCCGGAGGACCGTTCAGTTACTTGGCCGATGCTCTCCTTTGTGTGTGTGTGTGTGTGCTGGAATGTCTTTGACGCAGATTACACCATTGCAATGCGTCTGCCACTGCGCTTATCGCTATCGGATTACTTTTCAAACCGCAGCAACCCCAGCAACACAAACAAAAAGCAATACCAGAACCAGTGCCATATCATGGTCAGGGCCATATGATGGTGCTGCTGATGAATCGAACACTGACGGTTACTGTGATGGTACCGATGCTTACACTCGTAGTGATGCTCTTTGCTCATAGTTACGTGACGGCAGACTCATTTCCTACTCACCTGCACAGCATGATGGTGCCACGCCCCGCAACCGAGCAGATTAAGACTTCTAATAGAAGACGTCGCAGGCATCGACGATGCATCAGCTGTAAGTCCGATATCACGAACACAATGGTCAGAACCTACGCTCCACGACCGACGGACAATCGTGCCAAACTTCGGCTTCCGTCCGTGCCTGCTCCAGCAGGCTTCGGAAAGCTTCCTGCGGAGG